AAGGAGTTTTCCGAAGACCCGTCCGGAGCCACAGGTACGATCCAAACAGTTGCTACTTTACCTGATTCATCCCACAGCGGTAGCCCTGCTGTCTTTCTAACTGTTTGTCTGAAAACCGGTTTGAATTTGCAGACAACCTTAAAATAGACGTCATATCTACTGTCTGTTTTCAGAGTGCATGCCGAGAGGAATGATTACTTTTTATGGGGCGGCCATTTATAACAGGAGTTCATAAATATTTCAACCTTCTGTATAAAAGCAGAATTGTGTTTTCACTTCTATTTTCATCTTATCATTATGTCCCAAACATAAACCTAAGTTTGGCTCCACTATTTCCAGACTGCAGTAAGGAGCCTCTCCAGCTAACGTTCCGGGTGAGAGGCGGGGTCACCTGGACAGGTCGCCAGTCTGTCGCAGGGCAACACAGAAACAAACACACACACACACACCTAGGGGCAATTTGGAGAGGCCAATTAACCTGACATGTTTTTGGACTGTGGGAGGAAGCTGGAGAAAACCCTCCATGCACAGGGAGAACATGCAAACTCCATGCAGAAAGACTGGGGCTGGGAATCGAACCCAGAACTTTATTGCTCCAAGGCAACAGCTCTACCAGCTGCACCACTGTGCAACACAAGCTGTAATCAGAGAAGTCTAAAAATACCCTTTCAGGACTGTTCATATTTCTAAAGTGTATTCTATGATTTTGAAGGTTTAATGAGTTCATATTCAAAGTAAATACCTTATTGAGCCTAAAGGTAAATTAAATGTTGTAACTCATGTTAATTCATATTGCCCAGAGTTATTGTAGAGCAGTGGGTCCAACTTGGGTCCTGGAGGGTTTGGATCCTGGATCCAATGATGGCTCATTAGCAGAACATTGACATGTTACTACCACCAGGGAGAGAACTACTACATGCAGGATGCCGGCCTACAGGACCCACTTTGGACAGACGGTGATGACTAGTGGCAGGAAAGCTCTCCTGTAGCAGTCTATGTTACAGCAAATCTGTAACATAGACTTATTAAAGGTAAAGTTTAAACTTTACCTTTAATAACATAAAGTTACCTGAGAGAGAAAGGTGTAGAGAGAAAGGAATGGTGAGAATCCAGAGCCCTGAGGTTCTCCTGCTGCCTCCTGGTTCGACCCTCCGGCCTTCAGTCTGTTAGTGAGGAAGTCATAGATATAGATCAGATAGATTAGATTATCTAATCTAATCACATAGATTAGAGTTATTGTAGTTATTGTCTGCTGGAGTTCCTGCAGAGCAGATCAGATGAACCTCAAGTGGATGATGGCATCTCCGTCTCCATGGTGATAAGCAGACTGCAGGACTCAGGTGGGCCAGCAGGAGTTTTTCCAGGACTTCCATGATGGGAGTTGTCAAGGCAACAGGTCTAAAGGTGTTGGTAACTGATGGTGAGTTTCCTTCGGTACCAGAACCATGCAGGATGTCTTCCATAGCAACAGAACCTTCTGTTGGGTCAGGGTGAGGATGGAGACCAGAGTTTATTTCAGTCCTCAAGGTTCTCAAAACCAGGAAACACAGGTGAACGACGAGACATGAACAAAGACTCAGGAAGGGGAACAAAGACGAGGATTTGTGAGGTTAAATACACAAGGGAACAATCAGGGGAACAAGAGACAGCTGGAACCAATTAACGAATAGAAAAGACAACACAGGGACTAAATTAAACAGTAAAGACACAAAAACACAAATCCTCACACTACAATTTATTCTCCAGATTCTTGGTGTTCTTCTGTCTCTAATCTGAGTGTAGCTGCTTCTGTTTCCTCCTCAGCGACACTCCATCTTGTTCCCTAAAGGCTCTTTGGTTCCTTTAGGTCCCTGCTGATCCAGGGTTTGTTATTCTCTCTGCTCTGGTGGTGATGCTGCCGTCCACAGAGCTTCATGTCAGTCATGGCTCTGATATCATCTTCATGAGGCTAGCAGAGAGAGATCCAATCAGTTGTTTCAAAACAACCCTGGAGGGATTTGTGTTTCAGCCATTTTCACTGGACACTTTAGGAGAGAAACAGACCCACAGACTCACAGATCCTCCACTGTACTTAACAGAAGGTATGGAGTTCTCTTTTACAGATTCATCTGACCAAAGTACACAGTTCCTGTTAAAGTCTGAGTACCATTTACCAAAAATGCTAATTTTTATGAGAGTAGAACAGAAAAGCTGTCATGTGGCTAGCATCTGTCAACAAATTGTTTGTTTTCAATGAGCATGTTGCTATATTTTAGCAATTTTAGGATTCCTTCATCTTTCTGACAGATGTTTGGTCAATTTTGTTTAAAGAAAAATCAAGTTTAAAATAAATGTTTATTTGTTAAAATTCTTTGCTAACTCCTGAGGTATATGAGACACTCTGCAACATTTCAGAGGCTTAAACCTTCAGATATTTATTGCTGAAGGCAAACAAAGACATCGGCTGCTGTTCTGGAGTTTAGATTGTTCTTGTGTTATGAAAACAGTGATGGATGACAGGAGCTGGTCCTCAGCGTTCAACTGTGTTGGTGTTGGAAGGCATGAAAAGGATGAGTCACTGCCGGATCATCGCGCTCTCTGTTCTGCCTGCCGATATAGAAACACTTGGTGTTTGCAGGTTTGAGTAAAATAGAAAAAAGCATCTCTGTCAGTTTGCAGCTGCTGCTGTGAAGGAGTTTTTAGTTCACTTTGGTTCTGTAATAAGAAATTCAAATTGTAATGTTGAGATTCTGCTTTTAAGAAAAAATTATTATATGAAGCAGTTGGGTCGAACTCAGGAAGTAATAGACTAACATGGACTAAACAGAAACCAGCTGGGGGTGCTGCAGATAGCAAAAGGTATTTAATAGATTTCTTTACAGAATTTAAAAACTCCCACTTGAGGAGTTCTGGGTTGAACGTATTCACAAAGGATTTTTGTTCAATCTTAAATGCAAAATGTTTATAATTTTGTATGGTTTTGTAAGCAAATTGCTTTTTTTGAGTTGTACTCCAGTTAACATTTAATAGATTACTAAATTAGATTATGAATAATCAATCAATAATTGATTATTCATAATAAATCTGATTCCTTCAGTTCTACAAATATTATAGCAGAAGAAGAGAAGACATTCCTATCACCTGGTTTTAATTAATGGAAAATTAAATCAACGTTTGTATGAGTCAGTATTGATGTGGCTATTATTCTTATTCTATTGAATGAATGAATTGACTTTATTGTGGAAATTAACATTTCAGTGCAGAGTAAAAAGCAAACAAACATAAAACCTGGGTAGACGGGTTTCTGAGGCTGCAGCTTTTCGTTAGGATTGGAGAGTCCCACAGTATTGTATCGAAAGGAGACATTTTCTTCTGATTATCCAGGAATCTCTGTCTCCCGTCCTGGACGGCGGTACGGTGTGACGGCGCCGGCTCTCTACTCCTAAAGACAAAATCCTGAGGTGATGAAGAACAGCCTTAGAGGAACAGAGTTGGCTGCAGAGCTCAGACTAGATCCTAAAGTCAGACAGTCAGTCCAGCTTTTCCACCCCAGTGATGTTTAGTGGATAATTAGGGATTGTAGAGAAAAGCTGCAACAGAAACCAGTCCTGGGAGAGTTCAAATATTTCTTCTATCAGATAAAATGCTGCTTAGCTTTAAATTTTTATTTGTCTTCATGCTGTGAGGAAATCTAGCTGTTTCTAAAACCTGAGTGTTCTTGACTTCTGTTTTTGTAAGTGCAGCTCTAAAAACATCGACTCTGCTCTTTGTGCTGTTGGAGTACGACTAAAAATAGTCGCTGATTCTGGAAAGGCTGTCTGTTAAACTGTGGGATGCTTTGGCACAAAGCGCCGCTCGTCTCTTAACACTTTGACTTTCTGCACAGCATTTTGTTTTCTTTCCTTTACAGACTGAATTTTATCAGTTCCCACTTCAAATTTGCCAGCCAACCCATCAGATTAACTTAAATGGGTTCAGTTGTTAGTAGAGCTGCAATTAATCGATTATTCTGACAATTAATCAATCAGTCAATCAGATAAAAAAAAAAAAAAACTACACATTCTGGAGAATTTTTGTTAAGCCTTTTTATACAATAGACTATTGTTTATTTGTAATAATAGATGCAAATAAACAGAAACTAAATTCTTCTTTTAAAATAAGAAAAACATTTTTGGCCAAAGATGCAACAGCAGCATTCCTTAAATGAACGTTTGATTATTTGTAGCAAAGGACGAATTTGCTGCTAAAAATCCTTCAGACATCAAGAAGAGAAAAACTCTGATCTTTCTGCTGAACATCAATTCAGACCAGAGATGAACGGCTCGTTTTTCTGTGTGACAAAAAGTTGTAATAGGAGATTTAATCCAGAATTTGAACCAGATGAAGCCAAAACAGCCACTTGTGTTCTGGGTGGAAAATATCCACAGACTGAAAAGGTTTTCTTTGATCATAAATGTAAAATTATTGTATTTTTCCTACAATTTTGACCTAATTACTGCTGATTGTGCTGTTCTTTCAGCAAATAACATTTTTAGAATCTTTACTCCAGTTAATGAATAATTAATTATTAAATCAGATTATTTTAATTGATTAATCTCGATTAAACCGATTAATCATTTCAGACATTGTTGCTGGTTATTTTTTTTATCTTTTCTGAGAGTTTTAACACAAAAACTAAAAAATGTCCATGTTAAAAACTCAGCTATGTTTTGAAAAGCTCAAAACTTACAAAGGTTTTATGACATCCCTCTGTATTTATTCAACGTTTATTCCAAATCAGACTTTTTTATTATTTAATTTCAATATTAAACAATTAAACAAGAAAGAATAAAAAGCTAAATATTTTGTGGCAGTATCGTTTGCAGCTGGAGTTAATTCAGATATTTCCATAGAAGTTTAATACATGTACAGACTTTCCAGGCATCCTAAAACTGTCTTCAGTTCATTTTGAATAGTACGTCGACTTTTAGTATATAAATCTCAGGTGTTACATTTTGTCTTGACAGAACTATTTCATCTTGTATGTTTGATGGGAGTTTTTTTTTTTTTTTGCTGGACTTTTAGTCAGTCAAAAGTTTGAGTCGCACTCAGATGTTTTTATTTCACTCTGGAGCAAATGTGACCAAAACTTTATCAAAACTTTGTCCTAATGTAAAAAAAACACAATTTTGCAATCTTGTTGTTTTCATTAAATAAGAAACACAATTAAAATTTAAATCCTGCGTAAATAAGATTGTTCACCTAATAAGTGGTTAAAAAACATGCTGCACCGTCACCCTGAAACTGATGCTAAATGTTTCCATTGCAGTTTTCTGAAATAAAACAAAAACAGCTCACCAAACACCAAAACATTTTATTGTAACACGACAGTTTTTCAAAGCTGGGTGCAGTGTTGTGGTACTCGAAGTTGGTCTTGGTCTTAAGACCA